GCAAATATTACCTCCTATTCTATGATTCATCTCTTCACTTTGTTGATTGTATCCTTTACTGTGCAGAAGCTTCTTAACTTGATGTGATCCCATTTGTCCATGTTTTCTTTGGTTGCTTCTGCTTGTCGGGTGTTGCTCAAGAAGTCTTTGCCCAGACCTGGAGTTATTCATGTGACTAAGTCCACTACATCCTGGTAATTGGCACAGCCTAGAAGTAGCACACCACATTTACTATCTGGTCTGATCTATTATATGGTCATTTGGACTATTTATTCCCTCACTTGGTCAAAAACCATTTATTGAGCATGTACTATGTGATCAGCCTTCAAGTGGATGCTTAGGTTACAGATGTGAATGATAGAAACATGGTTCCCACCCTCTTTGTGCTTAAAATCTGGTTGAGAAAAGACACTAACAGCTAATCTTTATGGAGCACTTACTCTATGGCAACAACTGTGTTATGCACTTATGCATTTTGTATCAGTTCATTCTCACAATAACTCCAAGAGGTAAGAACCATTATTTGAACTGGAGCTTGAGGGATCAAAAGATTTTCCATAGGCAAAGAATGAAAAGAATCAACCCCAGAAGTTGATAAAACAGCATAACAAGTACAAGAAGATAAAGATAGCTGGAAGATTTGGTATGAGTATACCATAAGGTTCATGGAGGGAGAAAAAGTTGAGAAGTAAATTTGGAGACTTATCTCCCAAGCTATGGGGGTTTGGAAGTTTATTCCAATGAAATAAGCATAGATAGCATTTGATACCTCTTCCTGATTTTATTTGGCCTTCTGAAGATTGTGGACCAAAATTTCAGTGCAAGAACGTGGCAGAAGTCAGAGAGTAGAATTCAGCTTGAGAAAAACTAGGCTGGCTCTCCCAGATGTCTTGATGATGAAAACAAGCTACAGTTACATCTCCATTCAACAAGCACCTATCAAGTGTCAAGCACTGAGCCAAGCTCTAGAGATGCAAAAATAAACAGGTGGAACACATTCCTTGGGCATGAAAGTTCATAGTCTAGCAGAAAAGAAAGATTATTAAACGAGCAATTACAACTTAGTTATGCTGGTATTTTGGTCTGGGAAGCATGAGGTGCTGTGGGCAAAGTGAGCAGAGCATATGTCTTAGCATGTTGGAACCCAGGCCCAGGAAATGACTCAGACCCAAAGCATAAGTAGAATTTAGCCAAAGTGGGGAAAAGAAGGCATAGCATGTGCAAAGACACAGAGGCTTGGAGAAACGAGGTGTGGCTTGAGTGTGAAGGCAAAAGAGTTGGTTTTATTTATCTTGCGCACTTTGTGTTTCTTTCTCTTTTTTTAAACCACGTTTCTCCCCCAGTAGTCTAGGAAATAAATGGAGGACTGGAAAATAAGAAGGTATGGAATTTTTAAAAGGAAAAAACCAAGTGGAAATAGGAAAGGAAGAAAACAAGGCAAGAAAAAGAAGGAAATGAGGAGAGAAGACAGAGAGGAAGAAAGGGGAACGGGGCAAGGGCAAGGTGGGGGCGGCACGAGTCAGGAAGAGAGGTGCTGATCTAACTGCCGTTGTCCCTGAACCACAGGGACCTGGTGGAGATTAAAATGCTCTGAGAACACTAAAACCCAGCGCATTTTTGAGAGAATTCTTAAAATAACAATCAGAAGGAAGAAAACAATTATTGAGCATCTGCAGTATGCAAATAGGTATTTTCACATATGGTATCTCATTTAATTGTCACGAAAGCCCAGTTTGATGAATATTATTGTGTTACCTAGGAGAAAACTAAGGCTTTGAAAGACTAAACTGAGTGACCAAGTTTACACCGTTGGTAAATGATGGAGCTGACATTTATACCCGGGTCTACTTGAAAATCTCTGCCATTTTAAGACAACAGGAGAATACAGGCACTGAAAGGGGAAAACACCAAACAACCTTCACGTTTCTCGCCATTTTGTTCAAGGCTTCCTTTGACCCTGGGAGACGAGTCATCTGCCTTCTAACATGAATAAAATGCATGGAAATTGCACAACTCAAATTTATAAATCTCTTTAATCTACTCCTGGCTGCACATATTATCCATGATTAGTGATCATAAGAAAACAAGGAAGAAATGGGCACGTGAACTTTGATACTGACCTACAATCTCAGATTCAAAGACTTCTCTTTTGTTACTATCACAAGCAAACAATATGGCATTAGCCTCTTTGCAGTTATGCCCTTGCACACTTATGTAGTTCTGTAAGTTAGATTTCTAGAACTGGAATTACCAGATCAAAATAGTTATACTTTATTTTGGTAGCTACTGCCAAGCTGCCTCCAAAACATCTAAACTTTTTACTTTTATGGCCAGGAGCGAAAATTTTGGTAAAACCACCACCATAGATGTGGAGTCTCATATCGTTACAAAATCATGTTTCATATTTCACACGAAAAAAATTATGTTTTACAAACAATTTTCTTTAAAAAAACAATATTTTTTCAGGAAAAAAATGGGATTTTATTACAACTAAATGGAAAGCTTAAGTATTCTGAAACACACTACCTGACACGGATCCCATCAGAACCTCAGAGCTGGCAGCAGACATAGAAGGCCAGAGCTGGAGGCCCAACCAGGCTCCCAAAGCCAGGCAAAAAGCTGGGAGTTCACAAATGAGAACAAGATTAGAAGTGGCAATGCCAGTGGCAGCCATCAGGCACTTTAACCTGAAATCTTGATGCATAGAAAAAAGGGGTGGTGAAGTTAGTAAAGTAAAGGTCCACGTCAATTTATTTATTATTCTGTCAACAAATATCTGCTGAGCAACTACTATGTGCCAGGCACTGCACTAGGCTTAAGAAATATAAAAATAAATAAATGTTCTTCCCTAACTCTAGACTTGCTCATAATCTAATGAGAACCCTCTCCCTTGTTTTCTGGAACTCCCTGGCTCCAGCGTTTGTTCTGAGCCTTTATTCCACCCCTAGCTTCCTTGCTTCTCTCCACAATGCACATACCTTACAGCACCAGGTTGGCAAGGCCTGGCCAGGATGGGAAGAGATGTGTGGTGAACTACAGGATACACTTTAGCCCATCCAAGGTCTCTAACCAGGCCAATGGAAAGCCATCTACTTTTGCCTCTTATCCAGCCATGAGTCAGTCTTACTCACCTGTATTTTTTTGTTCATTTAATATATTGAACAGTTAAATACTTCCTGCTGCTCTGAGTGGATTAAGACAGCCGATTTGGAATGGCCATTCACATTCAGTTTTACAAACTGGAGGGAGCGAGTTCGATGTTTGTCTCCATGGAGATCGCTCTGCAGCAGAAGGGACAGGATCACTCACTGCATGTAACAGGTCATCCAAAGCAGCCTCTGAAGCAGATCTCACAGGGTGACACCTCTAGCCTGTCAGAACACCTCCCTGCAGGATCACATGACCGATTTACAAACGAGGGGAAATATATTTTAGATTCTTACACTGAACTTGTAGATTCATTCAAATCCATCTCTTGTATTCTAAGGGTAACCTCAGTCTATGCACAAAATGAGAGATCGGCCGGGTGCGGTGGCTCACGCCTGTAAACCCAGCACTTTGGGAGGCTGAGGTGGGCGGATCACGAGGTCAGGAGATCAAGACCATCCTGGCCAACACGATGAAACCCTGTCTCTATTGAAAATGCAAAAAAATTAGCCAGATGTGGTGGCGGGAGCCTGTAGTCCCAGCTGCTCGGGAGGCTGAGGCAGGAGAATGGCGTGAACCTGGGAGGCGGAGCTTGCAGTGAGCTGAGATTGCACCACTGCACTCCAGCCTGGGCAACAGAGCGAGACTCCATCTCAAAAAAAAAAAAAAAAAAAAGATTAGAGTTCAAAGCAGGCTAAGATCTCAGCGCAGTTAAAGTGCTTGGTGTGCTCCACCTACAACCCACCTTGAAGTGCTTTAGAGAGGGCAGAACCAGGAACTGGAAAGTGTAGATTCTCTTCTTTGCTCTGATGCTTGATGCGTGGTTTCAGAGACTCCGCATCGAAAATTGTGAGACAATTCACAGCCTCCCGGACCTTACAGGACTGCCATAACAACCAAATCAGATGATGCATGAAAAAGTGCTTCTAACTGCAAAGTGCAATTGATATATGAGAGGTGGTGGTGGTGGTGGTGCTGGTGGTGACAATGATGAAGGAGGAAGACATGGCCAAAGTCTACCACCTCGATAACGTTGGTCAGCAAATCATTTTGTCACTATAAGTGCATTACCTCTCAACTCTAAAGTTTATTTCATTAATTGTTCTAAGTGCCAATTTTAGCCTTAGAAACCAAAGAGTAACCCAAACACAGTGTATCCTTTCTTGGGTTCAGATAGCAACATTCTGAGGAGCTAACAGTTACCAATGAGGTCACTGGGCCCAGTATATGTGTCTATAGATATGCAAAAATAAAATTATGAAAGCTTCAAGTGGGAGAATCCCATGGCCACACAGGTTGCTTAATCTTTGCGCTAAATGACTTCAATCCCCAGGGAGTGGCAAGACGAAAAACAACTGCATACTGTTGCTAGCGACCCAGCTGCCAGGTGTGTTTTCAGTTCATGTGAGTGCCCTTTATTGGGAAGGAGAATGGGTTGACCTAGTGAGACATTTTAAAATGGCCCTCCTTAATGGAGCGCTCATTGTAGACATCTGCAGTCTTTTTTTTTTTTTTTTCTCCAGTTGAAAAAGCTATACCCTTTCTGCCTCAATCTTATGATTTCCACAGTTGGCTCTAAGAAACTGCAAATAAAACCCAGAGGCGTCCTTAAGCTAAGACTTTTAGAATTGGCTTGCTTTTCCAAAACCAGTGGGGGAATAGAAACGGTGTGAGAGAGAGACTGGGTTGTGAGTGGATGGGACCACAGATACAATTTTCTTAAATAAAATTATTACATACTGAGACGGCTGCAAGACCAGAGATTATATAAGACATAAAAGACATGATTCCAAATCAAAGCACTTTATTTGTCAAAGTAACTAAAATAGTTGTTTAAAACACACACACGCACACATGCGCACGCATGCACACACACTGTTTTCTAAAGCGTGATATTTTCTGCCTGAGCCTTTTCTTCTCACTTGGCAGCCCTGTTGTGTACACGATCTCTACAGGAATGCAGAAAAACCACCTGAGGGAGAAAATTACTAATCACTAAAAATTACTAATCACTCTCTCACACTAAACAAATCCCACCGGGAGGTTTTTAGTTACACACAGGGATATGGGCTCTCTCTTTTTTTTTTTTTTTCTTCTCAGGTTAATGATACAAAGGCATACAAAATTTTAAAAAGGAAGCATGTCACATCTTAATATGCATTAGCAGGGATATTTTTACATGATAGCATCTAGGTCTCAGTCCAAAATAAAGGCAAAGTAGACTGAAAGTCTCTACTGCCTACCACTGGGTCTCTCAGAAAGAAAAGAGCCTGGAGGGAATCGTACTTCCCACAGCATTGAATACAGCGCCTATCATTCCGCCAGCTGTCTCCCTGTCGCTCTCTCTAACATTCAACGACCTCCTTTTCCCATGATATTCAATTCACAAAGCCCATCAAGTGCCTATCATATATTATTTCATTAAATAGATTAGTGTGTTATTTATGGCAGGCCTCATCCAGTTATATCATATCTTCACATTGTTTATCTCTTACTTGTTTATCTTTTACCGTTTCTTTCACCCACTGTAAATAGTCTAGGCCCGTGTCCCTACTTAGTTGATCAGAAGTTGAGGGTATCCCATTCAATGGTCATATTACAAATGAGAGAAATTAGTAGAAGCAATAGAATTAAGAGTTTCATTGTAATGCCCCTTGGATTTTTTTCTTCTTTATTATTATTGTTTTCACTGATTATACAACATAATACTATTAAAAATATGTTTAAGCAAGTGAAAAGTGTATCAAGTACAAAGTGAATGTTCTTCCCTGCTAACTTCTTCTACCAGAGACCATTATATACAAATACATTCTTTATGTATCTAAGTATAGATATAAACATAAACATGTCCATCTAAATATAGATATAAACATAAACATGTCCATCTAAGTATAGATATAAACATAAACATGTCCTTCTAAGTGTAATTCTGTAATTTTATTTTCACGTAACAGTGTATCACAGCTGTCTTCCCATATGAAAAATATGGAGCTACAATCTCCTTTTGAACAGCCACTGAGTATTTATTCCATTTGGAGTTATATCATAATTAATTTAAATAATTTCCTATTTGTGGACACGTATTTTATTCCCCATTTTTCACTCTTATCAATAAATCTTAGAAAAACAGGCCAGGTGCAGTGGCTCACACCTGTAATCCAAGTACTTTGGTAGGCCAAGGCGGGTAGATTACTTGAGGTCAGGAGTTTGAGACCAGCCTGGCCAACATGATGAAACCCCATCTCTACTAAAAATACAAAAATTAGCCAGGTGTGGTGGTGCATGCCTGTAATCCAAACTGCTCAAGAGGCTGAGGCAGGAGAATCACTTGAGCCCAGGAGGTGGAGGTTGCTGTGAGCCAAGATCATGCCACACTGCACTCCAGCCTGGGCAACAAAGTGAGATTCTGTCTCAAAAAAAAAGGAGAAGAAGAACAAGGAGGAGGAGGAGGAGGAGAAATAAAAACTTATAAATACGTCTTTGAATACCTTTCTAATTTTCTCCTAAGAATAACTTTCTGGAAAAGAGATCACCTCATCAAAAGACATGAACACAGTTTAAATTTTGAAATGTATTGACAATACACCTTGCAGAAAAGGTAATCCAATGCACCCACATCCTCACAAACACTACATATGATCAATATTTTTTGTCTCTGACAATCTGATAGATACTTATTAGATATAATGCCTTTATTTTTTCAGGTGAATTTCTTTGATTGTTAATAAAATGAAATCTTTTCAGATGACTATTTCATTAATATTATGATGAAATCTAATTTTTAAGGTTAAAATTCTTCACGTTATTTTGTAGATTAAAACTACCCCTTGCTTTTATAGACTTCTATCCATCTATCACAGCATTAAGGAATCATACCTACTTTATAGATGAAGAAGCTGAGTCCAAAAAAAAGTAGATGGTTAAAAGAAAGTAAGTAGTTGGCAAGCGTTCACATACTACTTCTTAAAACAACAACAATAACCAAGATGGAGCATACTCTGTGCCCTAGATAGGATGTAGAAAACAGAAATGAACTCACATTTATCCCTATTCTAATCCAAGCCAGACAGCGTTGAATTGCAAATGCATGCAAAAAAAAAAAAAAAAAGAAAAGAAAAGAAACCTAACTGATAAAGCATTTGAGTTTTTGCTCCAAAATCCCAAAATGTAGGCCCCTTGATTTAACCTAGGAAAGAACATGTAGGAAAGGGTGCACCTCAGAGAGAAAGTGTGTGTGTGTGTGTGTGTGTGCATGTGTGAGCATGCACACGCATGTTAAAATGTGACGCTTGGTCTTCTAGCTACATTTTTCATTCAGACTAATTAAGCAACACCTGCTAACAACCCTGACAAAGGTGTCCCTTTCCCTCATTCCAGCCCCCAACTCCACATACACTGGATTTGCAACCCCCACACACCTTTATTTGGTTGGGTTGGGAGCCTGTTGAGACCGCCCTGTCACCACCTGTGTGGCAAAACCAGCCTTCCCCGAGATCAGCTGCTCTGCAACAGTGCACAGGTGTGTCCTGGAGAAATCTCAGCATTCTTGTTCTTCACTTAGGCAGAAAGAAAACAAAAAGGCAGAAGATTAAGTTATACACAGGTACAAACAGATGAGAGAGAACCCAGGAGAAGCCATGTAAGCTATAACCACATTTAGATAAATGCTGCTGCAGGGTTCATAGTGATGCAGCTGAGCTCAAAATAAACTTTAAAAAAAAAAAACAGAGGCTCAGAAATCTTACTTTTATGTGACAGCGCCAATTACTTTTAGTTGTTATGCCCATAAAAATTCTATGGTAAATACGATTATATTATTGGAGGAGGAGATTAGAATAGAATTGACATGTATTGAATACATCTATTATGTGCCATGTAGTATTTATGCCAAGACTTTACGTGTTTTTCTTAAAAGAGTGCGCTTTTTCTCCCAGACACAAAATACATGAATCTACAGAAGTAAGGCTCTCTGGTATCTTCTCTTGCCCCTCACCAGTTTGTTGGCAATTCCTGGTGCCACAGACCTGCTATCTTTCAACGTGAAAACCTCCCCCTAATCCTGGCGTGCTCTCGTCCTCTCTCTCCTCTCTGTCTCTCTGTCTCTCTCTCTCTCTCTCTCTCACACACACACACACATTGTGATAATAATAATGAAAATGTTGCACTCTTAGGAAGGCACTACACAAACCCAAAAATCACTGTATCCTGCTGATGTTGTGTGTAATCTAAGGAGACAATAACGGAAGTTTTGTACCTGTTGTGTTGAGGGAAGGCAAGTTAAACTCCTTAAAGAGAGAAGGACTTTTTTTCCGGAGAGGTCAGGTGGCTGCTTGGATTGTTTGTTTGTTTATTTGGGGTTGACTCCTATGCTGCAATAAGACTTCCATAACCTTGGGCAATCAAAATTCCAGTCCTCAGCTACAGAATATTACTCATTCTGTGATTTAGGTTTTCTCAGGCATTGGCATGCCGGGACATCAGAACATTACAGAGAAAAAAAAAGCCAGAGCAATTAATTTTTCTTATGTCTACAAGAAGACAAAATATTTTAGGCAAACAACCTCAGCCAACTTGGATAATTAACCACCGTGTTTTAGAGAGGCGTTCCACTCAAGGAAACTCAAGCTTGGTTTTGTTTCTGGGTTTTTAATTCCTGAATATAAAGATGGTGATATCAAAACTAACATAAACCTATTTCTGGTAGAAATTTGCCCTTTCTACCTGCTTGCAGGATGCTTCAGACAAGCTGGCAGGGTGTAGGTGGCCTTAGCTCAGAGGCAGAAAAACAAAGAGCAGAAACACACAGGTCTCCAGGCTGCTGCTCCTACACTAAGGACAAATGACCTGAACATGGTCCTTCCCAGACCTTAGAGATGCTGTTGAATTATGACAAGCCATAGAAGTAAAAAGAATTGAGAAGGAGGAGTTGTGGGGTTGGGGGGTGCATAGCTTTGTGTTCAGGAGCACAGGTATTCAAGTCACTGGGGTTCAAATTCCACCCAGCTCAGCTACTTACTAACGCCGTGACCTTGGGCAAGTTTTTTAACCTACTTTACTATACCTTCATCTGTAAAATGAGCACAGTAATAGGACCTCCCTCATGAGTTTGCTGCTATGACAGAATGGGATGATGCCTATTACACTCTTGCCTGCACAGTGCTGGCGTCATGGCTTGGCAGACAGCAGAAGTTGGCATTGCTATCCAGTGCCATGCTCCTAGAGAGGACACATGACTTCTCCAATGTCTCCCAGCTGGTTAACCAGGACTGGGACTCAGTTAAGCCCACTTCTTTCATTGTTCTGCCATCACCAGGGTGAACTGATTTAAGGAAACAAGTTGATTTTCCATGCAGCTCAGCCCCACCTAGCTCTACTGGCCCCACCTTTACCCTGGGCCCTGCCCTGCCCTGCCCTGTTCTGCATTACCCTGCCCTGCCCTCCCCCAGCCACCCTGGATCAGCCTCAGTAGAAGGATCTGGATCAGCCAAGCCTGAGCACCAGTCTAACAGGATAATGAGGCCAAGGTCCAAAACCAACACCTTGTCCCGCAAACCCAGATTGAAAACTGCTGCCATGGTAAGCAAAAGGTGCGGGCTTCCAAACCAGGAGAAAGGGAAGTGCAGGCAGGTAGGTGGTGCCCCAACCAGCTCTTGCCAAGAAGCTATGTGAGAAGTTTGCCAGGGTTCTGTCAACAATAATAAGCCCAACAAACAAACAAAACAAAGACAGACAAACCTTCACTCAAGGGTGGAACGAAGTGAAGGAAAGGCAAAGGGCAGGGCAAAGGAATGGGCATCAGCTCCAGGGTTCCTGAGAAATGGGGACAGCAGTTCAGAAAATGAAAAGCAGCAAAGGAAGATGAGCCACATCAGTCTGAGCAGAGAAGAAAGACCTGAGCTGTCATATTTGCACCAGTTCTGCCCCTATCAGGCTCACACAAAGTTCTGTGTTCCATGCTGGGCACCTACAAGAGAGGAGAGAGGCAAACACTGGGATGTGCCCAGGAGATGGCAAACAGGCTAGTGGTGAGTCTTAATACCATATGAGAGGAGAGAAAAGACTTCAAGGTGATTGTTAAAGAGATGAGACTTCTCGGTGTGATATGGCAGCTTTCACTGAATAGCTGATATTTTCCCAGGTAGGCCCACTTTGTCAATGTGGCTCCAAAGGGCAGAGCGAGGCTTGGAGAATGGAACTCACAGGCAGGCAAATTTCAGCACAACATAAGAAAGGTGTGTCCGCTGACATTCAAAGTTGTAATGGACTGCAGTGGGAAAGTTGAGCTCTCCTGGCGGTTATCAAGGAGATGATGGAAATAGTACTGGCAGGATTCCTGCGTTGGGTATGGGGATTGTAAAGTTGACCTTTGACTGTTGAGGTCCCTTTCAATTCCAACACTGGTAAAATGGGGTGAGTCAGTGAGCACACCTAGAGCTACTTTTATTTAGAATAAATACTGATTCATGTGTCTTCCCCTCTTCCCATCACTTGGCTTTTTTCTAAATAAGTCAAGGGGACATAATTGTTCTCTAACCCTCAGATTCAATAACATTTAGATGCTGATTATTAACTCCTTGAAAATAAAATGCTACATTACAAATCTCTCTCTCTCTCTCTCTCTCTCTCTCTCTCAAATTCTAGTGTGTTGGAAACAGGGAAATCAAGAAGTGATGAATACACTTTTAAAAGCTCAAGACTCAACTACATACATTTTAATATTCTGTATGTAAAATAAACACAGAAAACAAAACTAAAAGGCAAATGCCTTGGAAAATGATTATTTTGAAACAAATGAGACTAAAGAATAGTGTCTAAATATATGAGTAGTTTATATAAATCAATATGGGGACAATCATAGCAATAGAAAAAAATGCAAAGGGTATGAATAGAAAATATTCAAAATGAGATATATAAATGACCAATAAATATATGAAAAATGTTCAAAGTAGTCAAAGAAATGCCAGTTAAAACAATAATGACGCCAGGTGTGGTGACCCACACCTGTAATTCCAGCACTTCAGGAGGCCGAGGTGGGCGGATCATCAGATCAGGAGTTCGAGACCAGCCTGACCTACATGGTGAAACCCCCTCTCTACTAAAAATACAAAAATATTAGCTGGCGTGGTAGCACGTGACTGTAATCCCAGCTACTCAGGAAGCTGAGGCAGGAGAATCACTTGAACCCGGGAGGCAGAGGCTGCCGCGAGCCGAGATTGCGCCACTGTACTCCAGCCTAGATGACAGAGCAAGACTCCGTCTCAAAAAAAAGAGAGAGAGAGAATTATATTGCACCTATAATACTGGTTTGCACTTTTTTATTAAAAATTCAAACAGATCTGGATCCCTATTTTGGGGGTGAACAAACACAATGGGTTTCTACACAAGGGTGTTTGCTTCAAAGTGGGGAGCATTCTGACCCCTTTAAAGTAATATATTAAAGTATAATCTCCCTTTAGACAGAAACAATTGGCAGTGGAAAATTTCAAGCACAGTTCTATCATTCATTTGAAATGAATGGCTGAACTCTTTTCTGGTTTTTAGTTGCAGCATTAGAAAAGAACCCAGCACAATTTTTGCAGAAACTTCTTGCAAGGACCTCATCATAAGCATTACATATTTTATTTGCTGAAATGTAAAATTTACCTTTTTGATAATGGTGCAGACAGGTCTTGGTGAAACATACCAGACAACCCTAGATATGAGTCACAATTTGCTACTTCCAGCTCTTTGCAAGACAGAGGTAAATATTTTATTAAATGTATGGTAAGTTTCAGGGCCCTTTAGGTCCATGACAGGAAAAATGACCAAGGGTCTCTGAAACGCAATTTCAAATGGCTGATTTTAAAAAAACAAACACACACTCAAATTTCATTTTGATGCCTGTAAAAACTTACGTGAAAAGTTTGGTTTAGGAACGTTTCGAGGTACTAATTGGAAAAGGATCCCTGAATATCTTTAAAATTCCCTTGTGCTTTCCTTCTCCCCGACTAGTGAGAAAAACTCAGGGGTAACTGAGTGGAAAACAGGGAAGAAACATTGTGATAAGGAAAGTATGAAAAGATGAAGTATGGAAAAATCTTCCCTGAAAGAGACACTACTGGACTATAGTGACTGGGATGATGATCAGGAAAGCAGGGATGGTTGGTTAAAAGTAGAAGGAAAGAACCAAAAGGTGTCTTTAAAAAGGAAGTAGAAGTAGGAGACAGGAAAGCTGGAAGGAAAAATAACATGAAAATGAATTCAGTACAGCCAGCTGAAGGACAATCGCTCTTGGGGCTTTTCTACGACAGCTGAAGGACAATCTCTCTTGGGGCTTTTCTACAACAGCTGAAGGACAATCTCTCTTGGGGCTTTTCTACATGCAATTAGTCTTCTGGGTGTTCATCTCCTCAAAGGCAGGGGGACAAACACTGGGATGTGCCCAGGAGATGGCAAATAGGCTAGTGATGAGTCTTAATACCACGAGGGAGGAGGAATAGAGAAAAGATTTCAAAGTGATTGTCTTGGAAATCTTTTTTTTTTTTAATTGTTTTTAATGTTCCCATTTTCCAGTCTCATTGGTTTGAAATATTGTTGATTGGAATTGAATTTACAGAATATTGAATTTCTCCTTGTTTTATTTTCTAAATTTTAGTAACTTTTTATTATTGTATGGTAATTGGAGGAAATTTAGAGAATACAGAGGAAACAAACAGTAAAATAAAATTCACTTTTACTTTCCTCTCACAGGTAACACTATTAGGCTGAAGTATAAATATTCCTGTCTTTTTACCATTGTTTTCATTTACAAAATGAGGGCTGAAACCAATGAACAATATCTGAATGTGGCACAATACTGTTTCAAAATAAATAAATTTTTAAAAGAGCAGAAGCCATTTGACATTTTCTAGACTTCTCAATGATATAAAACCTTTAACTCATTGTTTATTAAAAAAAAAAAAAAAAAAAAACAACTAAGGAGCATCAACTCTGATTTTGTCAAGAGCTGACACCAGAATGGAGATAGCCAACGAGAGAAAGAGGATAAAAAAGGAAATTTGTCCAATCCAAAAACTCTTATACAAAGAGTAAACTACTTTGTATAAGCAAATAATATAATGTATAAATTACTTTCAGTTTATGTAAAAAAAATAGCATATTATATATATAAAACAAGTGTACAATTGCGTAAGCAAATGCTATTACTCTACAGAGTTTCCAGGTAACAACTTTCACTCCAGTCATTATTAGAGTCTGTATTGCATCCTAACACTTTTTTTCAAACCAGTGGAAGGACATCAGGACAAACCTCCCCAAGATATGCCATGTAAGCTGAGACCTGA